GCTGACTTCTACAAAATATCTATACACAACAGACTCTGAAAGCATGCTGAAAAGTTGAAGACAGGGATGCTTTGAGCAGAGTGGCTAGCTTCACTAGAAAGGTCACAGGTGGTGAGCATACTTTCAATCTTTTCTCCAGGCTATGCCGGCGTGGTGGGTATTGAACAGGCAGACAGATTGGCTGGATCCACACCACTGGGTGGTGAATTGATACATAAGGCAGATGTGGTCAAGGTCCTTTGGGAACAAGCAACAGAATCAGCAGAGAAAGAATATTATTATGGCCTGGAGAGAATGAGGCACCTGGATGTAACCAGAGGGTCTGGCTGGCTCACTACACAGAAAGGCAAGACAGACTTTTAACCAGATTGTGACCGGTACAATCAGTACTTGAACTCTGCGCTGGCTGCTGAAGATGAGGACGGAGCATGCATGGGAATGCCCTAAGTTCTTGACTGAACTCAACTATACACAGCATGGTAAAGAGAAAAAATGGATTAAATACAAAAGACCATATTGATTAGTCTGGTATTACTTTGAATATGCATTTCTTAGAAGTCGACTAGTTTATTTCTTTTTTAATCAGATAAACTTGCAAAAAGAGGTTAAAATAGCAAATACTATGGGAAAAAGAAAGCTAACCTGGCAGTCAGAAAGATAAACTTTATCATGTTAAAGTTAGTTTCACATCCTTTACAGGACATTTTAGAACCAACCCCAGCATTTTTTTTTTGCTGTTGTGGTTTTTCTAGGCAAATTTATATCCAGTAGTTTGCCACTGCCTTCTGGACGGTTGGCTTTTTCAATACCACTGTCAAAACCGGCGCAAGGCCTGCAAGGCCCGCAGCTGGGATCAATCCTGGCACTACGCAACTCGTTTGCAACACCTATGCCACAGACACCTTATCATTACTAAATTTAAAATTATGATATCTGACAAATGCCACACCATTTACTGACAGAAACAGATTTCTATTCTTTTGCTCAGTGTAGAGTATACCATTCTTCAGCTCAATGTAGAGTATACCATTCTTCAGCTCAATGTAGAGTTTACCATTCTTCAGCTCAGTGTAGAGTGTACTATTCTTCAGCTCAATGTAGAGTGTACCATTCTTCTGCTCAGTGTAGAGTGTACCATTCTTCAGCTCAGTGTAGAGTGTACCATTCTTCTGCTCAGTGTAGAGTGTACCATTCTTCAGCTCAATGTAGAGTGTACTATTCTTCAGCTCAGTGTAGAGTATACCATTCTTCAGCTCAGTATAGAGTGTACCATTCTTCTGCTCAGTGTAGAGTGTTCTATTCTTCAGCTCAGTGTAGAGTATACCATTCTTCAGCTCAGTATAGAGTGTACTATTCTTCTGCTCAGTGTAGAGTGTACCATTCTTCTGCTCAGTATAGAGTGTACCATTCTTCTGCTCAGTGTAGAGTGTACCATTCTTCAGCTCAGTATAGAGTGTACCATTCTTCTGCTCAGTGTAGAGTGTACCATTCTTCTGCTCAGTGTAGAGTGTACCATTCTTCTGCTCAGTGTAGAGTGTACCATTCTTCTGCTCAGTGTAGAGTGTACCATTCTTCAGCTCAGTGTAGAGTGTACCATTCTTCAGCTCAGTGTAGAGTGTACCATTCTTCTGCTCAGTGTAGAGTGTACTATTCTTCAGCTCAGTGTAGAGTGTACTATTCTTCAGCTCAGTGTAGAGTATACCATTCTTCAGCTCAGTATAGTGTACCATTCTTCTGCTCAGTGTAGAGTGTACCATTCTTCAGCTCAGTATAGAGTGTACCATTCTTCAGCTCAGTGTAGAGTGTACTATTCTTCAGCTCAATGTAGAGTGTACCATTCTTCTGCTCAGTGTAGAGTGTACCATTCTTCTGCTCAGTGTAGAGTGTACCATTCTTCAGCTCAGTGTAGAGTGTACCATTCTTCAGCTCAGTGTAGAGTGTACCCTTCTTCAGCTCAATGTAGAGTGTACTATTCTTCAGCTCAGTGTAGAGTGTACTATTCTTCAGCTCAGTATAGAGTGTACCATTCTTCAGCTCAGTGTAGAGTGTACCATTCTTCAGCTCAGTGTAGAGTGTACTATTCTTCAGCTCAGTGTTGAGTATACCATTCTTCAGCTCAGTGTAGAGTGTACTATTCTTCAGCTAAATGTAGAGTGTACTATTCTTCTGCTCAGTGTAGAGTGTACCATTTTTCAGCTCAGTGTAGAGTGTACCATTCTTCTGCTCAGTGTAGTGTGTACCATTCTTCAGGCTCAGTGTACAGTGTACCATTCTTCAGCTAAATGTAGAGTGTATCATTCATCAGCTCAGTGAAGAATATACCATTCTTCAGCTCAGTGTAGAGTGTACCATTCTTCAGCTAAATGTAGAGTGTACCATTCTTCAGCTCAGTGTAGAGTGTAACAGGCTCAGTGTAGAGTGTACCTTTCTTCAGTTTCAATGTAGAGTGTACCATTCTTCAGCTCAGTGTAGAGTGTACCATTCTTCAGCTCAGTGTAGAGTGTACCATTCTTCAGCTCAGTGTAGAGTGTACCATTCTTCAGCTCAGTGTAGAGTGTACCATTCTTCAGCTCAGTGTAAGAGTGTACTATTCTTCAGCTCAGTGTAGAGTGTACTATTCTTCAGCTCAGTGTAGAGTGTACCATTCTTCTGCTCAGTGTAGAGTGTACCATTCTTCTGCTCAGTGTAGAGTGTACCATTCTTCTGCTCAGTGTAGAGTGTACTATTCTTCAGCTCAGTGTAGAGTGTAACAGGCTCAGTTTAGATTGTACCATTCTTCTGCTTAGTGTAATGTATATTATTCTTCAGCTCAGTGTAGAGTGTACCATTCTTCAGCTAAATGCAAAGTGTACCATTCTTCAGCTCAGTGTAGAGTGTAACAGGCTCAGTGTAGAGTGTACCATTCTTCAGCTCAATGTAGAGTGTACCCTTCTTCAGCTCAGTGTAGAGTGTACTATTTTTCAGCTCATTGTAGAGTGTAACAGGCTCAGTGTAGTGTGACATTCTTTAGCTCAGTGTAAAGTGTAACAGGTTTAGTGATGATAAAAATCCCCTTAACTGTAAGCAGATATCTAAACTGCACACTGTCTCCCTCAAAGAGGTTCTACTCATTTGTGGTAATGACATGTAGAGAGTGTTGCCGGTCACATGATGTGATGGAAGAAGTCTGTATTGCATGCCAGCCAGTCTTGGGGAATGCTACAATAAATTTCACATTTGATCAATTCCATTTAGTTTTCTGTTGACTATGTGCTGATGGAATTAAAAACAAAATGTGCTGAACAAGTTATGTGACTAACAATAATATATAAGCCCAGTGAAACAACACTAATACTCCAATGTATGGAAGTAAAGACCTTAATAAACAAAACAAAAAATACAACAACAAAGTCATGTCAAGCTATGACTATGAATTGCATTACTGGGTAATTATCAAAGACAGCAGTAATTGAAAAAAAAATTTTTTTTAATCAGCAGCCATAACATGAAGACAAATCTAGAATTAGGTATGACATAGATCTCACATACCGTAGTGTTCACTGCCTCTGCTGTGTCACTAAACCATCTGTTGCAGGAAATGCAATTAGTTTTGTACCTACTGTACCTAAATGTTGTCACTTTCTGTGGAATTGTTTGCTGACAACTATGGTATGCATTTGTATGGAGTCCAACACAGGTTTTACCAAATTTGTTTTTTTTTTTTACAAAATAAAGTGTTTTCTTTTTCTTGATATTATAAAAAAATGTCTTGCTTTTTCTTGTGCATTGAAAAAAGGCTGAATAAAACCACAAGTTTAAATTTTCAACATATGTAAAAAAAAAATTTAAAAAAATATATTTAAAAAAAAATGTCATGTCTTGCTGTAAAGAACATTTTAGTCATCTGAATAAACAAACCACAATATGAGCAAATGTTCACACATAGGATTACATTTTAAATAAATGTTACATATATTTTACTATAATGGTGCATTTATTAATTTATGCCATTCTATTTTCGCCAATTTCTTGCTAATTACCTATCCTGGAAACATAATTTTTAAAAAAAAATGTTTTATTTGTATGGGTTCCTATTATAATCTCGACAATGTTTTATACATAAATAATATTTCGACTGCCAGTTGTATCGAAGCAGTTTTTTTTTTTTTTTTATCATAAATATAAACATAGTTACAGAAACAAACTGTACAGTACTGACGTGAACTGCCCTAACCTTAACCACATTAGTTATTTTTTTTTTATTACAAATGAACCAGCATACTAGTTTTATATCACGCAGAGACACTTTCAGTGCAACAGTTGTAGAATTACATCAACAACAAGAAACAAGTGTTTTTGTGAAATTTGGATTGGTTACATTTAGACTGTGCTATAGCTCTTAAAAGGCAATCCATCAAACATCATCATACACCTCGAATAAGCAAAAATGGATTCTAATTACTTGTTATACAGGGACAAAATCTGACATAATGTTGAGAAGTAAATTTTAATATACAATTGTATCCATTTATATCCAACTACTGCTGAGATATTACTGTTTCAACATTGGCACCAATTTCTAAACACACTATGTACACATGTATTATGTTAAATAACTCTCACTGTCTATCCAAACTGTCATTAATTAAAAATGAAACATATGAAACCTTTTTTTTTTAACAAAAAGAATATAATGATTCTTTAAAATATCCTATTCATATTAATTTGAAAGCTCCTTTCTGTCCACTTGTGTGGTGACTGACAGTTACTTACTTATATGCATGAACTGGTACATTGACCTTCCACTTACATGTAACATTACAAGTAATGCCATGCACTGTGTGTGTCAGCTGATTCAAAAGACAGCCACCACAGAATAAAGAACAAGATGCTGCTCTATTCAAAAGAATACAGAAATCACAAACTGTTTTTGGTAATCATACAAAAACATCCTGAGGGATTCTTGTACTAACATTTAAATAAAGGAAATCTCCACGACACAAAAATAGGAATGTATATTATCATAAATGATTTGGAGATTGTGTCTCATTACAAGTTCTCACAGTAGAATGAATCCCGTACGGTCGAATGTGGTAAAGGTAGTAATCCAGAGTCCTCATATCATCTGGTGGCACATAATGAAAGCTTACTGCATACCTGCTGACGCCAAATCCCTTGAAAAAAAAAAATGCCATATTAATAAGATTTTAAAAAGGTAGTTTGTATTTGTATAAAGGAAATACACAAAGACTATAATTCATTCTTCTTCTCAAATGGAACAAAGGAGAAACAACATGCCCATTCATGGTCATTACCAGAAATCAGAACACTTATCAAAGGAAAATACAAGGGATTGTGGAGAGAACAAACTAACAGTAAACATCCACAAGACCCCATCTGCAGACTCAACAGAAAGCAACATAAAACAATTTTCCATCTACGAACAGGACACTGCAGGTTCAACTACCACAAGCATAAAATAAAGATTGTACAGTCCCCCCAGTGTGAATGTCAAACAGGACCCCAAACACCTCAACACATTCTGCAGACCTGCCCACTCTACCTGCAACTTTGAAAAGACACCTGGCCTCAAGAGCAAAGTGAGCAGAGCAAGCTATGGGGAACCAAGCAGGACCTGCAGCTGACATGCGAGATCATAGAGGCAACCCACCTGATGGTCTGATCTGAGCATACGAAACCAAACGCAAAGAAGAAGAAGAAGATTCTTCTGCATTTACCATTAAAAAGGTGACGTTGTGTTGCAGTTTACAGCACGGCTGCTGTATTTGTCATAACTTTCAGTCCAGTACATCAGATTTCAGAAAACACCTAAATAGTCACCTTTTATGACATATCTATCCAGAGGGGTGTGTGTGTGTGTGCATGTGCGTGTGCGCGCACACGCATGTGTGCATGCAAACGTGTGTTTTTGTATGTGTGTGGGGGAGGGTGGTGTTTGACCCACTACCCCCAACAAAAATTACATTACAGCAGTGGTTCTCAATCTGCTGGTCGCGACCCTTTTTTTAGTCAAACGACCCTTTCACAGGGGTCACCTAAGAAAATTGAAAAACACATATTTATTGAAGTTATGAAGGAAAATAATTGTCTGGGGGTGTCCACAACATAATGGAACTGTATTAAAGGGGCACGGCGTTAGGAAGGTTAAGAGCCACTGCTTTACAGGATGTTGCAAAACCAACTCCCAGCATTTTTTTGCTTTTCTAGGCAAATTTTCCATTCGGTAGTTTGCCACTGCGTACTGAACAATCAGCTCTCAGCCCCAGCACAAGACGAATCGTTTGCACTGGGATCGAACCTGGTACCCTGGCATTACAAAGCATGTTTGCAACACCTAAGCCACAGATTGTGACATAAATAACAAAATACAATACAGAATAAACACTACATCTTTACAGTCTTTTTCAACAGTACAACAACAATACATAGACACAATTCCAACAGAAAACATCTGACTGATTGCTATAAAAAAAAGTAATTGGAACAACACTAACATAATAACTTAGTTTACAGTATAAAAAAAACAATAGTATACACTGAGCTAAGGTAAACAATGAAATCTAATTTTTTTTTCTTTTATAAAATAATTAAATTATTATCAACAACTTTCTTTCTAACATTTCAAAACCAAAAAAATAAGCAGTAAAAATTGTTTCCATTTATAAAATAAATAAATTTTTCTTTTATAAAATAAATAAATTATTATCTACAGCGTTCTTTCTAACATAAAAAAAAAAACACAGATAAAGTTTTCTCTTGTTACACTGCATTAGCTAGGCTAACAAAGGTTAGATTAGATCTGTCAAAGAAATGTTATCAGTATAAGCTGTGTGTCAGACTGGAGGTTGTATTAAACAAGAGAATGGAGATGTGATCATAAAACATTGGGGGAAGGAAAAGGGGGGGGGGGGGGGGGGGGGGGGTTGCTATAGCTACGTGTTGAGCTGTTTGCCTCACACTTTGAGGGTGACAGTTTGTTTTATGGGCTCTATGTCAGGTTCAAGAGTGCTATTTTTGCAGAGATCCCTAAAGATAGTCACTGGAGTTCCCCATGTGAGTTTTGGGGCCTCAGAGGAAAGAGTGGAGGAAAGACCCCACCCCCATAAGTATGTTATAACAGGTGACTAATTAGCAGTGTTTCTTCTAAGTCTAGGTGCATTTGCCTGAGAGGCGAGCAACCAGCAGTCTGCATACCACAAATAAGCCAGAAATGTAAAATGGATTTGCATATAAAACTGAAGTTCTAGAACAAGACCAAAGCCTAGAAGTGGACGAACAGACAGAACTTTCCACTGGAGTTTTCAGTAGGTGAATGCTAAGAAGAAGTTGTCAGAGTTTGACATTCATGTTTTGCACAATGCGTTCCTTACCTTCTGCACAATGCCTTTAGTGTATCTGTAGTGCCAAGCTGGATAGTTGCCTAAAAGATGGATTTGTGGATGCATAGAATGGAAGAGACTCCTTCCCATTTCATCCAATGATAAGGATGTTTTAACACCTAATCTTTCCATGCACAGTCCAAATTCAACATCCTCATCTCCTCCATCCCCTCTGCAAATGCTCGAATTGACTGCTTTAGTTCCAAATCGATGGAGAGCTTCTTTGCTGACGACGTAGCCACTACCACCACTGAAACAGACAAGTGTTGTACTATTCACATGAAGTTACATATTATACAGAGCTATGTTACTTACTTAAAGTTATATCATTTACATAGTCATATTATTTCTTCTTCTTCTTCTTCTTCTTCAGTATTCTGAGCCCTTAAAATTCATTGCTGCAGATATCACCCATCTTCATTTACCTCTATTAATAGCCTTCTCATTTCAGTTGATGCCCCCACCCCCTCCTCAAGTATTTCTAGGTCTGCCTGTATATTTCTCCACAACTTCGTTGGTATGCCTCATGACCTACTTCCATTCAACTCTTTTGGGTATGCAGTTTTTATCTGTTATCTGCCATTCTCTCTAAATGCCTCAATAATTGCTGCCTATAAGCCCCTAGGATTGCCAGTAATTAGTAATAACTCCGATCAAGTGCCTGAGTGCATGCAGCATGCGTGTGTGTGTTTGTGTGTTTTCTGTATTACAGAGGTCTCCAAAAGTGTACAACTGAGACAACAGACAGAGAATGTTGGAGATCCATTGCAACCAACTTTCATTGTGGAGATAGCAACTGATTGACTGACTCACATCACATGATAAACAAACAAGTAAATAAAGTTGAAGAGAGGGTTCAAAACTGGTTTTACCTGTAGTAGCCTTGTTGGACATTAACTTTGAACAAGTGCCCAAAAAATATAGGCTCAGTCTTGTCTTTTTTGGAGAGGAAGTAGCGAAGGTTCTCAACAATGACGTAAGTGTCATCATCTGCCTATTGAGGACATAATTATCAAGCAAATGTAATGGACAGTTTAACAATTTTATTCTTCACAATGTCAATTAATCCATTTATGCATATGTCTAGTCAAATTAATCATGACTGTGTAGAAGGGGTAAGAGAAGGCATAGAAGAATGGTAGTCTGGTAGTCTTAGTTTCAGCTTCATAGCAAACGGGTCACCCCATCTTTGCTCCGCTCCCGTGCCAACGAAAAACACACAGAATGTTTATCACAGTATTAGAATTGCAGTTCATCATTGATGGTAGCAGAAGTCGCCAACAGATCAGCAGTTGCCCACACGATCAATTTTAATCACATACGGGTACCACAACACTGCACGACAGGCATCGCGCCATTTTCTGAATCTACAATTCACACCAACACGTTGGTCACAGTCGAAAAAACATTCCAAATGCAATCTGCAGCTCACAGGGTCACGCCATGCATTCAACTCAGAAGCTGGGCGACGAAACTATACCCAGTCTACAAATGGAGCAAAAATGCATCGGCCACCGTCCGGCAGAAGCAAAAAATTTGCCTCTGTTTCGAACAGTGCCGCTGCCTAACGTCCATTTTTACCGGAAGTATGTCATAAGGCATAGAAGAATAAGGTGACCATGAAAAAAAAGAAGATAGGATAAGAAGAAGAAAAAAATTAGATGAAAGAAAATGTTAACAGGTGGCAGCAAATATGAAAGAATGAGAAGTGAAAAGAAAATGAAAGCCAAATTTTAAAAAGCACACAAACACACACAAAAACATTCAGAGAATACAAAAATGACAAAGAGAAAAGAGAATGCAATATGTTTATGTTTGGGTTATTTAAGAACGACAAAATAAATTAACATGCACCTAGTGGCACTCAGAGTAACACTAAGTTAGTTATGAGGCAAAGTACACTTGCTCCAACAGTGCACTGTCATCATTCAAAGACAACAGGTTTGACTCATGTTATGGTAAATAAAGCTTTCAATTTTTACATTGTCTAGTATGCCCTCCTATCAATACTATACTATTTCAATGGCCTCAAAGGTTCCCCAGATATTTATCTGGGCTGTAAAAGTGTAAGTTTGAACTGACAACTCACCACAAGTATGTACATTTTTCAGTCAATGTTATAAAACACATTAAATAATGGATATTTATGCCTATCAATTCTGTTTGGTTATCCATTATTGCACAGCTTATGTGTTAAATGTATAGGATTGTAGGAGTGTAAATTGTCAGGTTGAATATATTTTAAGTGTAATTACAAACAGTAATAGTTAGTAATTATACTGTGTAGCATGCGGATATTTAAAGTGATCTGGAATACCATTATTCTGTATTCAGATGTTATGAATAAATGAATGATGAATGATGAATAAATAAATGAATGAATGAATGAATGAATGAATGAATGAATGAATGAATGAATGAATGAATGAATGAATGAATGAATTGACATCACTGCACTTGGGACATTCCCACAAGTACTCTGTCCCAGCTTCAGTAGCCAACAAAGACTAATAGTAACAGGTGCAATCTGATTAAAAGTCCGCTTAAGTTTCCCATTCAGTCAAATATCTTTCATCCTCTATTCATCCCATGTTGAATTAGTCTATCAGTGTATCAATTCTCTGTCTATTCTTCATGCCTGTCCATTTTATCACAGAGAGCATTCACCACGTCCACTTTATCATAAAGTAGCTCATCGCTCATTACCTCGCACACCTGTATATCTTGGACAGAAGATCCAGGCTATGCTCCTGGCCTGAGTCTTATCAAGTGATGCAAGCCGTTTGGCACACAAGATGACAATTTCAATTTTCCAAAGCATGTTCTGTGAGTCGGTTACAATTACCATATGTTGAGCTGTGATGTTTTAAAGCCATCGGAAAGCTGTCATTACTACCTCTACCACTATTCTCAAACTGGATGTAGTGACATTGTATGCGAGGCTTCCTGTTTTCAGACAGTGTTGATTCACCTCTGCAATAAAACCTCACCCACTCTTCTTACCTCTCAATACAGACATATCTGTATATATCATGATGTCACGTGGTGTGAGTTTTAACTGATCAGCTCTTGAAGCACTGACTCTGTTTCATGAGCTATCCATTCCCAGCATCCTTGGCCCAAAGAAACTATCACTCTATGTAAGGCTGTTTTGATGGGCGACACTGTGATCTGCTCCGCACCATGGGCTTATTTTGTCGGTAGTACAAACATTCCTTCAGTAACTTCTGCTTGTGAAAGAGACACCTCTCTCTCTCTCTCTCTCTCTCCTAACATATATTAATATCTCTTAAGATATAGTAACATCTTATATGACGAACATATGGCTGTGAGTCCTGGACAATCGGTAGGCAGGCCAAACAATTTCTTGAGTTCTCATAGATGTGGTTTTTCAGAAGAATGCTAAAAATACCTTGGACAGCCAAAAGGAGTAGGAGCCCGAAGACAACTAATCACAGACATCAGAAGGAGATAGTCATCATTTTTCGGCCATGTTTTGAGAAGAGGGAAAATGGAACATGTTGTGACCACTGAAAAGGTCTGTGGAAGGAGGGATAGAGGAAGACAACCAGAGAAGATTTTTGACAGTCTCACTGCATGGCATGGAGGTGTGTCAGCACACAAACTAAAACATGCTGCAGGAGATCATATATTATGGAGAGGCATGATTGCCCATGCCAGTCGGCAAGGCACTTGATGATAATGATGCTAACACCTGTTTTTGTGATGTACTGTTTAATCCTTCCCTGTAGTTCTCTAGAAACATCTACTCCCAAAATATTTTCTATCAACTGCAATAATTGATTCTATTAATTAATTGTAAAAAGTTTGAACATATTTTTGAGATAACACTAGGTGAAAGATGGATGCACATGATGGCAAAGGAAAGGACAACTTGGCATAAGTCAGCTTAGAGCCTATACCTCACTGAAGGTCAAAGAAGAAACACACTCACCTTCATGAACCAATCCGCTTCATGGAAGTGGTTTTCATAAATATACCTAAAAGCTGCCATAGTTTTTCCAGTTAGATGGTCTCTTCCCTCTGGCACATCAATGCCAACAGTAGGAAAAGTTGGATCTGTTTTGGAGCTAATGATAAAATAATGAGAATATTCAATGTACTTGTGGTCGAGAATTAAAAAGCTCTGTACACTACAAGAGTCAACCAATCACTGGAAACGTTTAGAGGTTGATTTTTTCCAGAATGCTATCGAAAGTGCGGAAATTATTTCTGTAAGGCTCTTGTAACTTAGCAGAGGTGCAACAATGCAGTGGCTAGTATCCTAGCCTTTCAGGCAAGCGGCCATTTGTTCAAATCCAAAATGAGACAGAAATTTCTTTAGACTTACTTAGGTTTCCGAAAATGGGTTTCAATCAGGAAAGGTTCTCAGGTATGATGGTGGCTGGATTCATACAGACTGATACACCCTTTGATCTATACAAATTTGGAGCTTGCATCAGATGCCCAATATTATTCAAAGTGTGGGAAAGGGTTTTTCATCCATCCATCCATCCACCTACCTACCCATCAATCCACTCAACTATCCATTCATCCATCCATTTAGCCAGGTATCCATCCATCCATCAGCCCACCTATCCATTCACCCATCTATCCATCCATCTAGCTTCCTATCCATCCACTCATTCACCCATCGATCCATCCATTCATCTACCCACATATCCATCAATCCATCTATGCAACTATCCACCCACCCATTCATCCATCTACCCACATATCCATCCAGCCATCCATCTATGCACCTGTCCACCCACCCATCCATCTATGCACCTATCCACCCACCCATCTATCCATCAACCCACATATCAATCCATATAGGTGTACATATCCACCCACTCACCCATTCATCTACCCACATATCCATCTATCCATCCACCTATGCACCTATCCACCCACCCATCCATCCATTCTCCATCTATGCACCTGTCCACCCACCCATCCATCCATCCATCCATCTATGCACCTGTCCACCCACCTATCCATCTACCCACATATCAATCCAAAAAGGTGTACATATCCACCCACCCACTCAACTATCTCCACAGCAAAGGGGTCAAGCTGTTTGCCTCATGGGTTCTCTTTGCCCTTTAGTTCACCAGTGCAATTTTTACGGAGATCACTGGGGACTGCCATCAGAGCTACAGAGTTTGTGCTTTGTGTGATGCTCTCGGCAGGCAGCTAACCATTCTGTAAAGAGAGACCGAGCCATATTGGATCAAACCGGGTGGAATGATGTTGATCCTCTTGACTTCAACTTTATCTATCTGTCCATTTATTCTTCTACCTACAGATATCTATCTATATGTCTGTCTATCTATCATCACATTTATCTTATGCATAAAGAAATAAAAAAATATTTTAAAATGCCATGCCATTGTAGATCCAAACCCAAAATCTTCTGACAAGCAGACAGGTGTCTATCCACTGTGCTAGTGTAAATTCCTCAACAATGATATAAATTTTGCTGTTACTACTAATAACTATGATAGATTTCATGTCCTCTAATTTGTTATCTACTTACTTAGTCGAACCTCTTCTACCCTGGGGTATCGTTGTTTGCTAAAAGATCCCCAGACTTCTTTGTCAGCAGTTTTCTTTTTTAGCTTTGTTCCATTCCAGCCCTCTGACAGTCAAAGACTGTCGGATGTTGTCTTCCCAGTGAACCCTGAGTCACTCTAGAGATCTGGCTGCCTGGTTCTTAGTCTCCTAATGGGTGGATGATTCTCTCCCAATGTGCATACATGTCCAAACCATCGTAACTATGACTGATCCATTCAAGTTTGTTTGGCCTGGCTTTTGGGATCATGACATACTGTCTAGTTGCAAACTTTGTCCCTTCTTGTCGCTTAGACCACCTTTCTCAGACACCTCATTTCTGAGGCCTGAAGCTGGCTTCTGTGAGCTGTTGTCATTGCCCATGACCCACACCCATAGGTAATGACTGACATATAGATCTTTTAACAATTATTTCTTCTCAAAATGTTCATCAGTACCTGTCAGTTTAGTTCTACTAACATCTGGCAGCATTTATCAAAGCTCAACACATCTTTAAAAACTTGAAACTTCCGCACTTGCTCTTAAAAGGGTGGCTGACACATTGTCTTGTGGTTTACAGCTAGGCTGTGATTACTACATTTTCAGCCCAACACATCCAATTTCAGCAAACCCTTAATTAATTGTCTTTTATGACATGCTTGCTAAGGGGCAGTGGGTCTAGTTTCTCCCTCCCAAAACTGTGATCTGGAACCCACAAAGAGATAACACTGGAATAAAACGGACAACTTCTTCTTCTTGGTGTTCACCTGCTGTAAACTCTGGTGGAAAATTATGATCGTTCGTCTGCTTCTCATCTTTAGTCTTCTTCAAGAACTTGAGTTTTGTGTGAACATCTGTTTTACAGATAGGGGTTATCTGTATGCAGACTATTGGTTCATCACCTCTCAGGCAGATGTACTCTGACTTTGAAGGAAACATCCCTAAATGGACTCTTACAACATGCTTGTTAGGTTGGCAGCGGGTCTATTTCTTTTGTTCCCCACAATGTGGCCCTGGAACATACACAGGAAACACTAAAATAATTAAAGATAAGCTACCTGAAATAAATAATAATGTTGCATCGCTTGCCCCAGGTTTCTTTGATAGCTTGAGCTTTTATCTTCAGCGAGCTGGGAGACGTCATCACCCAGATTAACACTCTCACTTTTTGACTCATTTCTCTGGCAATGTGGTCATCCGCTAATAAATCTGAATTCAAATGTCACAATTCCATATTCAATTCCTTTACCTAATGATACCATGAAACATTTCCTATAAAAAATCAAAAGATAATAATAATATTGAAAGATTTCTTCTTCTTCTTCATTTCTTCTTGTAATGCTTCAGTACAGAAAAAACAGAAGTTATGAAGATCAGCAGAACACACAGGCCACTGAATATAAGTGTTGGAAGTGCCAAAATCAAGCAAACCAAAGAGTTCAAATACTTGGGCAGTATATTTACAGAGGATGGAAGAATGGACAGAGAGATAGAAACAAGAATACAGAAAGCAAATGCTGTCACATACCAACTATCACCTCTGCTTAAACATCCAGATATAACCATGAAGACCAAAAGACAATTGATAAACACCATCTTCATTCCAACACTCTGCTACCAGTGCCAGACATGGACAATCAACAAGACCCACGAAAGAAAAATAGAAGCCTGTGAAATGAAATGTCTAAGAAAAGCAGCGAATAAGACCAGACTAGACAGGATAAAGAATATAGACATTAGAAACACTGTCAAAACTACACCATGTTTAGACTACATAGAACATCAAAGAATGAAATGGTTTGGACATCTAACCAGGATGAAAAATGATCAATTAACATCACAAATTTTCAACCAAAGAAGCTCAGGATATAAGGCAAGAGGAAGACCAAGGAAACGGTGGATTGACGGGGTCTCCGAAACCTGCCAAAAGCATGGCCTCAGAACATCAGATGCTGCCCGCCTTGCTTACGACAGGAACTTGCATCTCCCCACAACGCTTAGCGGCATACGTGGAAGGAAAAAGTAAGTAAAAGTAATGCTTTGGGTATCAAGGGAGATCAAATGTTCTAGTTCTTGCTCTTCTAGCTGCCTCGACCATAGACATGTCATGCTGTTGCAGAGTTTCACTGATGTTATCTTTCCATTAAGTTCTTGGTTCTTGGCCGACCCATTGCTCTATATATTTCCCTTCTTTTGATATATGCCTTGTATGATGTACGGCATTAAAAGACTAGACATTTCATAAACAACAGAGACTAAATACTGAAAATAAAGACAGTAACATCAAAGATACTGCAAATAGGGTATAAAATATAAGGTCTTCACACATTCTAGGCCACCATATGAGGTGAGATGTTCAATTCTTTTCACTAAACCTGTCTTACCTCTAAACATTCCAAGAAAACTGGAAATTAAATTGCTATCCATTTTCAAAGGGCTGAGTCAGCTCAAGGGCCACAATGATCAGGGAAAATCCTGCCACTGTGTGACATATGTCACTGCTAAAATCTGCCTGCTGCATTCTGGGTCACTGTGGTTTGAAAGCCAATGAACAAGCAGGCAGACTGGCCAAAAGTTGCAGCGACATGATGCAATTAAACTGTGACTCCACCCAGAAAGAAACTGAAACATTAATAAAAACCAGCATCCAATAAAGGTGGCTGGATATCCACACCAAATATTCTCCCAAGACTCGCTTCATCGCCAGTCACCTCTCCAGAGAGGGACAATGTGTTATTTTTAGACTCAACAGACTTTGCCAACAGATGATTAGGTTTTTTTAATGTAGGAAACACAGGTTAGCATTTTTATTTTTGATGCCAATAGAAAGCAGAAAATATGTCGATCACCTTATCGAGGACTCAAACCGGGTCTCCCAATCAATGGGCCAGGGTTTTAACCACTCTGTGAGATTATAATCTCAGCAGGCAGAATTTAACCAAACAGGCACACTGAAATGGGAAAGAAATAGACTAAGGAAATGAGGACATAACCACTCTGTGAGATTATAATCTCAGCAGGCAGAATTTAACCAAACAGGCACACTGAAATGGGAAAGAAATAGACTAAGGAAATGAGGACATAACCACTTTGTGAGATTATAATCTCAGCAGGCAGAATTAACCAAACAGGCACTGAAATGGGAAAGAAATAGACTAAGGAAATGAGGACATAACCACTCTGTGAGATTATAATCTCAGCAGGCAGAATTAACCAAATAGGCACTGAAATTGGAGAAAAAAAAAAACATACTAAGGAAATGAGGACCTCCAAGAAAAACCCTTCAATGAACACCAATGAGAGAGCGACCAAACGTGTTGGATTGGATTCCTTCTTTGATATCAAAAGGATGGCACACCCTGTCAACAAATACTTGACGAAGTTGTATGTGTCAGCCAAATGGTGCAAATATCGCCGCTTTGATGAAAACAGACACAAGGCAATTACATCCCTGGGACGAATGACAAGAAGAAAATGATAATCTGTAAAATATGTGTGACAGGATATCTCTACAGTTTAAAGGACTAGCTTAATAGGTCTGCTTCTACATTGTCAATGTTTACATTGTCAATGTTTAAAAAGCTGGTTATTGTTTTACGTAATGGGTTAATGTTTTATATGGTTAATGTCTTATTTAGTCAATATTTTCTGTGATGGTCAATGTTTTATATGGGTAATGTCTTAATTGGTCAATGTTTTATAGGGTTAATATCTTATGTGGTCAATGTTTTATATGATGATCAATGTTTAATATGGTTAATGTCTTATTTGGTCAATGTTTTATATGGTTAATGTCTTTTTTGGTCAATGTTTTATAAGACGGTCAATGTTTTATATGGTTAATGTCTTATATGGTCAAGGTTTTATGTGAAGGTAAATGTTTTATGCAATCGTCAATGTTATATATGATGGTCAATGTTTTATGTGATGGTCAATGTTTTAAATGATGGTCAATTTTTTATGTGATGGTCAATGTTTTATATGATGGTGAATGTTTTATGAAATTGTTAATGTCTTATATGATGGTCAAAGTTTTATGTGATGGTCAATGTTTTATATGATGGTGAATGTTTTATAAAATTCTAAATGTCTTATATGATGGTCAAAGTCTTGTATGGTCAATGTTTTATTAATATTTTATCATTTATGTCTTATATGATGGTCACAGTTTTACGAGTTTAAATGATCATTTAAATGGTTTATGTGTCGTAAATTTTTATCAAAATGTTAACTGAATATGAGAGTGGGACTTACTAAGATCACTGTCCGTGTACTGGTTGATGTTTGGTGGTAGCTTCTCGACTCGTGTACCATTGGCTACACCCATTCTCACAGCTCCTTCCGGGTTGGTACCAGGGTGAGGATCTGGTTAACGTTGGTGTCTCCTTTTGAAAACGGTAATAATAACAATAGCTGTAATCATGACATAGTGAAAAACACAACACAGCAGTAGGTGCATCTACAGCAGTGGTCTCTCTCTCTCTCTCTCTCTCTCTCTCTCTCTCTCTCTTCTCTCTCTCTCACTGACACTCTCTCTCTCTCTCTCTCTCTCTCTCTCTCTCTCTCTCACTGACACACACATGCACACACGCACACACATGTGTTTGTCTAAAATAGCCCTAAGGAAAGCATAAATAAAACTGGTCAATTCAGTCACGGCAACCGATAGCCCAAATCTGTCTAGCATTGAGTGTGTGTGTGTGTGTGTTTGTGTGTGTGATCTGGTGTCTGTGCATGTTACTGGGTATGTGTGCATGTGATGGGTATGTGTGAATGTGTGTGGCTGTGTGTGAGTGTGTGTGGATGGGTGGGTGTGTGTGTCTGTGGGCGTGTGCATATGTATAAATCAATAAAAAGTGCCTTGTAGACAGGTATTGGTGATCAAGCTTCTCCACATCCTGTGACCTCCTACAGCATGTATCATTTCCTTTCGTGTGCTGACAACTTTTCTTGCCATGATAAAAGGTTTCAAGAACTGCCCATCACTGGCTTCCTCAATATCTTTCCATAAATCTTTTCGGGCTGCTGCATGTTCCTTTTGGTCATTTTTCATAATAATTTTCAAAGCAATTTGGCCAACCAAGTAAATGAAGGCTTTCTTCAGTAAAACCATATCCCTGAGGTTTCAGGGAACTTTTTGGCTGCTTACAAAGTAATCCAGGATTTACATTTAGTACAGTGGATATCAGAACTATGAGAACTATAGAAAATTTATGGTCATAGGTTTTTGAACTAGTAAAACTAAAACACATTTAGCATAGCAGATATGCCAATTAGAAAAACTAAAACTTTTAGCGTAGTATATATTTGAAGTAGAAAAATACAAATAAAAACGTTTAGTATAGTAGATATACTAATATGTGAACTAGTAAAAATTAAGCAAATTTTTTCTCTTCTTCGCATTCACTGGCTGTAAAATCCAGTGGGAAGTTCTTGTTATTCGTTACCTTTAGACTTCATCTTCTTCTCGAACCTGAGTTATGCATGCACATCCATTTTACAGATCTGGCTTATTTGTATGCAGACTGCTGGTTCCCTGCCTCTTAGGCAGATACACTCCAACTCTGAAGGAAGCCCCCACTTAGTTGACTCTTACAACAAGTTTTTTTTAGGGGCAGATTTATTTAATTAAAAGAAATAAATCACAAATAGCGTAGTCCAGATTCAGTCTACAACAATTAGATAGGAAGTTTCTACTGATACTTATGACTATATAGCCACAACCGGCTCCAGCTGACGGGCTGTGCTGCTGACATCCCCGGTTTGGGATAAGGATGCGTTAACGCAGCGGTTCTCAAACTATTTTTGACAGTGGCGGGGGAAGACAACTTAAATTTTAACTTTAAAGTATCTACATGCCTTTTTTAATAATTTTACAATTTTTAGCCTACTTTTTTTTTATCATTACTGCAGCACCCAGGCATACGCTCATGGCACCCAGTTTGAGAACCACTGTGTTAATGCATCATTAGCCTGACCCGGTGATGTCAGCAGCATGGCCTGTCAACTGGAGCTGGTCCTGGTATAACTGGCAATAAGCTAAGTAAACTTACCTGTGTAGGTGCAAAGACTATGTCATTCACCACATTTTTCACCACAAACAGAATTGTCAAGGAGAGTCCCAGTAGAATCCCCAACAGAAAATCTTTAAATCTGGAGTTAACTGGCACTGTACACTTGCTCTGTTTGTAAATATAATGATTTGTCAGTACAACTATATTATATACTCATGAAATGTTGTAGATGATATGAAAACCAGAAAACTGATACACAGCAGACTGTAAGGCCCTCTCAGATGTGGGGGAATTTCTGTTGTGATGAACAATTTGTTTATCCCCAGCAATTCTTCTTGCTTAAATTCTTATCTGAATAAGAGAAAGTTCTGATAAGAAGAACCCTTTCTTGAGTCCCCAGTGAGTTCTCCTTATCAGGCGTGCACTGTACTTCTAGGAAAATGTCTGTGAAAATATTTTAAAATATGAGAGAGGGTTGCTGATGAAATCGACCCACACTGGACTGCAGGTGACTTCGTAACTGCTATATGGCTACATGGGGGTTTTGAAACTGTATCTGATTGATTCTTATCATTGAGATGTGGATCCTGTAAACTGAAATTCTTCAGGGGAAAAAACTAAACGAAACAAATCAAGGACAGAGAAAGAGACAGGGAGCAGTGGGAAGAGAGAGACTGCAATGTTTAAGAGGTCTGGCTGATAAATGTATGATCACAAGTTCAAACCACCATCCTAGTAAGTTTACTGAAATAACTTGTGCACCTTGTGAGAAATACTGCCACTTAAGATCTGTGTATTAACAAAAGTGCCAGAGACAGACAGACAGACAGACAGACAGACAGACAGACAGACAGACAGACAGACAGACAGACAGACAGAGAGAGAGAGAGAGAGAGAGAGAGAGAGAGAGAGAGAGAGAGAGAGAGAGAGAGAGAGAGAGAGAGAGAGAGAGAGAGAGAGAGAGAGAGAGAGAGAGAGAGAGAGAGAGAGAGACCGACAGACAGACCGACAGACAGACAGACAGGCAGACAGGCAGGCAGTCAGGTGGAAAATGGGAGGGGAAAGAAGAAGGCAGACAGAAAGAGGAAAAGAAGGAGGAGGATAGAGAGAGACAGAAAGACAGACAGACAAACATACTGGTATAGACAGAGTCAGAGCTGTGGTAATGCAGTGTCTGTTATGTCTGGCTGATGAAGGTGTGATCAAAGATCAAATTAAGATAAAGTAGATTTTCAAAAATAACATAAGGAACCACTCAGTGTGACACTAACCACATCACCCACAGAGTGCTGATTCACCAGGCCACCCACAGAGTGACGGTTTAAATCACCCCCAGGATGCTGATTAACTGCAACACCCACAGAGTGCCAATTCACCACAACACCCATGGAGTGGCGATTCACCACATCAGCCACAGAGTGACGGTTTACATCACCCACAGGATGCTGATTAACTGCTAATTCACCACAACACCCACAGACTGCCAATTCACCTCAACACCCACAGAGTGGTGATTCACCACATCAGTCACAGAGTGGTGATTCATCACATCAGCCACAGAGTGACAGTTTCCATAACCTATAGAATGCTGATTCACCAAAACACCCACAGAGCACTGATTCACCGCAACATCCACAGAGTGCCGATTTACCACAACACCCACAGAGTGCCGATTCACCCCAACACCAACAGAGTGGCGATTCACCACATCAGCCACAGAGTGACAGTTTACATCACCCACAGGATGCTGATTAACTGCAACACCCACAGAGTGCCGATTCACCACAACACCCTCAGAGTGGCGATACAGCACTTCAGGAACAGAGTGAGGATTTACATCATCCATATAATGCTGATTCACCACAACACCTACAGTGCCAAATCACTACAACACCCATAGAGTCATAGAAGGCCAATTTCATGCCTGTCAACCTCTTGAAATAAAAACCCCAATGACATAACAATAACAATGTAAACGTCAACCAAACGTTAAATATGATGGTTTCCTTATATGTGTATAGTAAAATACCAAACGTTTTAGCTAATCAGAGTTTAAAAAACTTAGATATACAAAAATGTACATAAAAAATTTCCCGCACTAACGAAAAAATATCCTAACT